CCCAGCCAATCAGGAAGCCAGGCGCTGCGTCATTACACATCGCCCGGCTTCCTGATTGGCCAGAAAGCCGGCTCCATGCATTCTCATCACCTAGTGACGAGAAGCATGGGGACGGCTTCTCTGCTAATCGGGGTGGCGAGTCTTCACACGCTGCCCGGCTTGTCAGGAAGCAAGGTGGCGAGTCATTACATGCCGCCTGGCTTCCTGAATGGGACTTCTGGTACTCTGTATTCGGTATCGGCAAGTACCGTAAAAAATATATATATTGGTACTCGATACCAAGAAACTGGTATCGGTGCATCGCTAGTTTATTTCTCAGAGCTTAATTAGCAATAGAGCTAACACAGTAATCAGAATATTGTCGTCTGTATGAACAAAAGCAAGTTAATGTCTGTCTTTCAGGTGGAAAGTCCAGGTTACTAACAAGGGTTACAGTCTGAGGAAACCAAAGGTAATCTTTTTCCCTTCAGTGCCCTAATATCGGTTCTTCTCATGTTTTATGGACTTGAGTCTTGTGTGTATAACAACCTGGGTTTGCAATGTATGGTAAACCTTTTACAAAGGTCTATAATTTAGAATGAGAAGATGGTCAGAAATACAACTGCTGAGGTTCTCTTTCTTGAAAACTCTACAGCAAAAAGGATCAGTGGATACACAGATACCGGCAGCTGAAATTAATGACAAGTATTAAAGCTTGGCTACTCACCTTGTGCCTCCCAAGCCATGCAGGTTCACTGTTCCCTTAAACCCAGCAGTATATACTTATCTTCCTTTTGCTCCCTAACCACTCCATTCAGCTGCTGGGACAGGCTAAACCAGCTCTGTGTAGTGTTGGATCTCCAGTCAGAGCTTAAACTCGGCTATCTGTCTTTCTGCCCCTTTGTGACAATGCTGGTCCAGGCACCAGTGATGTCACATGCTCCTCTATACCTGGATGTGATGGGTATTTCCATTGCTCCCAGCATCTGAATAAGGCAGCAGGCGGGAGTAAAGGGAAGGTAAAAATATGCTTCTGGGGGACTGAACTTAAAAGTGAACCTGTGGTATTTCCCTTCCTGGGCAAAGCAAATGTTTGCTTTAAGTAAATTCAAGCTGTAGACTTTTTTTGTTATTTTTCTAGAAGGTTGCTGTTTTTGTGAGACTGTATTGGGGTTATGCATTGTTGCCATTTTTAGATTTAAATAGTGCATAGTAAAGTTACTTTTATTTCATATGTTGTGTGCTTTGGAGGCAAAACCATATGATAACATGCTATTGTATGTTGATTCTTTAGGTTTTGTCCATGAATAATTACTTCTCAATAGGTCCCGATGCCTTGATGGCTTTAAACTTCCATACACATCGAGAGAAGTCCCCGTCACTTTTTTCCAGCAGGCTTGTTAACAAGGTAGGCTGTCAGATGTTAAGAGAACCTGTCAATTTCCCGAGGTGATATATGCATTTAAAAGCTAATGCTCATACATGCCTACACGTACCCTTCTTTGTGTTCTTGAACACCCCAGGAGCTTTCAAACCTTTCATGCACATCTCGCTTTTGGACAAAAAGGTGTGGAACGTTGTGCTGAGGGAGAGCTTTGCCAGAGCTCCAAATTTGGAACTGAAAGTAGACCTTTGCATAGTTGGTGCTCTGGGTTGAGGTGCTCTTAAGTCATTTTAGAGAATCAAAAAATATATGGGAATGCACCGCTAAATGTTTCCTTTAGTATATTAGGGAAGTGTTGGGTTTGTGTTAAAGCTTAAAATTGAAATCTCTACCTTTTTTATGGTGAGGCTTGTTTCATACAGGACATTTGCCTGCACCTTCTCTAAAACGGTGTAGGTGGCTACCCTGTATGTACAGGTGGGTGCTTGTAGTGACCACGGATGGCACCGTGAACAACATAGAAATAGCAGAGATGTCGCCAGCACACCAAAAAAGTTTCAGCAAAAGTCCATTTAATGACAAGTTGCCATTCAATTACAAGCACTTTCGGGGGCCTCAAGGGTTCCCCTTCATCAGGCTCAGAATGACACGAGCCTGATGAAGGGGAACCCTTGAGGCCCCCGATGTGCTGGTGACATTTCTGCTATTCTCTAAAACTGTGTCTCCTATTATTTTGTTAGTGACATTTAATTTTAGAAGTTGCTGTTCTTTAGGTGATCTTTGCCAGTTTTGGCTGACTTTGGCCAAATTGTAAGGTGGCCACCATGTCTGTGGACCTCAGGATCAGTACAGATGTCTCTGGAGTTTGAGTATAAGGTTGGCACCATCTGTGTGTTGCTACTCCTCCAATGCCAGTCAGCTGGCTGGGGTGCTCCTGGACCAATGTGTATAACTTAACTACACTATTAGATTACAAAACTTCATGAACAGCATTACAAATCCATTGTCAGGTAAAACACTTCACTTCATATTTGCATTCAGCACTTTGCATGGATTTTAGCTTTAATGTCAGTTGCGTATGTTTACAGCTGTGACAGGATTGTGTAAATGCACCTTTTCTATTGGAGAGATACTAGCTGAACTGGCTTTTCCTCTCCTTTTATAAACTTGGTTTAAAGCTGAACTCCTGTAAAATAGCCATATGCACATAAGAAATACCTATATGAGCACTGGTTTACCTGCTAAAGAATTTGTAATTGTATTCCACCAGTCTTGTGATCCAGACCCTCTGACCAGACAGCGCATTCCAGTTGGTGGCCCCACTTTTCTCTACTGCTGTTCAGGAATAGTGCATGTAACCTTCCGGCCCCATCCTGTGCTTGGACAAAAAAGGAGTAGCAGCACACTGATCGGGGTCATCACTTTGCTCTGATCTCTTAAAAGTATGTTCATACATAGAGATATAGATATATATATATACATACACTATTTGTATTGCAATGTTTTAATTAATATATACAGCATTAAATTGTATTTTTTGTTTGCCTTAAATTTAGATTTATTTGCATCTTTTATTTTTCAGGCGGTGTATTTATTTTATGGGACCAAGGATTGCTTGATTCAAGAGTGTAAAGATCTTGACAAAAAAGTGGAGGTGAGAGTCCAGCTACCACACTGATCCTGAGGATGAATGACCTTTCTCAGGAGCCTGTAATTAAGACTGGTGTTCTCTTTAGATACTTTATATGTAGTGTCTGTCGCTGGCAGTTTGCTCTGTGTATTCGTACAAAGTCTTTCTTCTGAGTTGGGCACATTTGAAAAGAGGACTGTGGCCCGATCTTTTTTGGCCGTAGTTCTCTTTAGGGTCACAGGAGGACATTTGCTATGTCCTTCTGTGACCAAAAACTCAGCATATAGCAGGCTATTGGCTTCCATATGTTGACACCGCAGAGCCGCGCTGCAGCAATATTGTCAGGGTCCACCCCGCGACCTGATTGACAGCTGGCTCTGCCTCTAGAGAGCTGTGCCCGCTCCCTCCCCATCTCTCCCTCCAGTCAGCGCTGGAGGAACAGAGAGGGGAGGGGGAATCCGTGCAGGGAGACGGTCACCACCCTCTGCAAGGAGAAGATCATGAACTGAGTGATCAGTGGTATGTGAACGCTCAGTTCTCGATCAATAGAGCTGACATGTGAGAGCTGCATGGTCACACATCGGCTCTGACTGTTGGGATGAGTGTATTTCACTCTCCCCATAATTCTCCTTTAGCTACTGCAGATATGAGCATGCTACTAATGATGGCACCTTACACTTTACATCAATAATCTCCTCTAAAGCCCTGATGAAGGGGACATATTAAAACCTATTCGTAGGTCTGGTTTGACTTAAATCATCCCATGGCATCCATCCAGTGCTTACTCACATGAGAAGTGCTGAGGTATCGGTCATGTGGTCTTTGCCAGAGTATTTTGCCTAATCATCAGCTTGTCCTAAATACCCACCATCTGCATCAGCTGAACAACATGAGCAACAGAACTACATAACCAATGTCTCCGTATTAATGACATGACCAGGGAGCAGTATTGCAGGACAAAGATGAGTTCTTATGTTGCTTTATCTTTTTTTATAGAGACTTTGTCATAAAACTACTGCAGTATGATGTACCTGCTCCTAGAGGTTAGCAGCTTCTAATACCCGGCTCTTATGGTCACATCCTGGGCTGGTTTGAAAGGTAGAACTTGACACCTTCGAGAAGTATCAAAGTTCAACACTATCTAAGCCATCTAATGATTTCCATTGGCCTATCACTATGATGGGCTGCCTCAATGGGCAAAAAAATTGCGCAAAGGTAGCATGGAGTGTAAGCGTTGTCAGTATCAACAAGTGTCGAATTTTACCAGTCAAAACATCTTAGAATTCAGCTATAAAGGGGGAGTATTGGAGGCTGCTGCAGGTATGTGCAGGAACTTAAGAATTTTCATACAGTGGCAGAGTCTTTAAGATTTTTATAGGCTAAATGTTTAAGTAAAGCTTTTTTAGCTTACACTGCAGATTTGCTTTATAGGCTTAGTGCACTTTTGGGACCATGTTTAATGTTGCACCTATTACTAAGCTGTAAAATGAAATGCGGTTGTATTCCCCAACTCCCCACACTCAAACTCCCCCCCTTCCAACTTGCCAGAATCACAGGGCGCTTCTCTCTGCAGCATCCTTTCCACACAGCCGCGTCATCAATTCACAGCAATCTGTGAATGGGAAGATTACAAGTACCATCTACCACTGCTGCAGAGGAATTTGCAGATTGTGTTGACCCAAGTGCAGTGACATCACTGCACTTTTAGTCCATTGTTTACTTCCTCTAGCCCAGGGGTCAGCAACCTTAAACACTCAAAGCCATTTGGACACGTTTCCCACAGAAAAAAAAACACCGGGAGCCACAAAACCCTTTTGACATCTAAATGAGGATAACGCTGCATATATAATTTTTTTGCTTTTATGCTATGTATAGCATGTACTGTATATCGGTATATGTGGGCTTCGTAACGCACTGGACTCAGGGTTTACCTGAGACCCCGCAGAGCCCACCTGAGAGTGACCCTGCAGAGCACACCATAGACCCTGCAGTGCCGCATATTCCAACAGGGGGGTGCCCAGGACAGGACCTGGTGATAGTTCCACCGACGGACAGGGAGCCACTGGAGAGGGATGAAAGAGCCACATGCGGCTCCGGAGCCGCAGGTTGCTGACCCCTGCTCTAGCCCCTTAACACAAGGTCTGTACCTCCGGTATGGACCAGCGGTTAGGGATAAACAATACAGGAGCTTGTGCATTGCATCCGCTCCGCACTCATCGTGGTTGCAGTGCTCTGCAGGCTGGAATGCAAAAATGTCATAAATATTTGTTTTTTATTTTATTAATTTGGTTTCATGTATTACACTTTTGCAGAAGGTGGACTGTTCTTGTAAAGGACAAATGCCCCTCTATAACGCTCTGTACAATTTTATTAATGCCTTCTTTACCACAGCAGTACTTTTTAATAACTATTGCTGCTGGCTCGCGTATCCTAAAAATCAATTTGCAAAGTTTCTAAATGACAGAAGCCTTTTGGGAAAGTATCTCAAAGATTTACAGCTTGTCTGTGTTCATTCTCACGCAGGTTTGCTGCCAAGTGTGTGTGCTGATCTCTTGTACTTTGTAACTGCAGCTGGAGTTGGATGGAGAGAGAATCTCATTACCCAACCTGGAGGGGATCGTAGTGCTGAATATCGGTTACTGGGGAGGAGGCTGCAGGTTGTGGGAAGGCATGGGAGACGAGCCATATCCTTTATCTAGGTGAGTGTCTGTGAGATTTATATGTAGCCATGAGCAAATATTACCCCGGGTCAGCTCATCAAGACATTTTTGTTACTTTTTAAAGAAGACGAACTCTGGTCAAACAAAAAAATGTACCCTTTCAGTGGGGCTACCCCTGCACGGCAAGGGTTAAGTGCTCATTTTGTCTAGGGGGCTCAAATAAAGCTGTATTACTCACCTGATCCCCCATCCCGCTGGTTCCCTCAGGGCTGCTAGAGTGATCCCCGGAGCCTCTTCTTTCCGGGGCTACAGTGGTCTGATGAACACTGAGGTTATCACATGTTATGCAGGTCCATTGACAGGTGAGGGTGCCGAGGTACATTGCATAGCCGGGAGAGAGGTGATCGCTGACCACTGCAAGACCCAGCTTCATATGAGTAATACAAATCAAATCTTTAATTGAAATCTTTTTGCAGGTAAAGCAGCTGTGCATATATGTGTTTCAGCTGTGTATGTATCTTTCTTAAGGTGGCCATACACTGTACAACCATCGCAAGACCTTAGTCTTGCGATGGTTGTAAAGGGATTAAAAAAACGTACGATCTGCCCATCTTGGACGGGCAGATCGCACTCTCGATCATCGCAAGCCACACCCCCTGAGGGGCGGGCTTGCGATGACTGTAATGAGGGGGCGGGCTTACGCTGACTGCAAACGGTCAGTGTGCGCGTGCGCACACCGGCCCGTTCGGCAGTCGTCGAACCAGCAGGCCATCAACTCGCCGAGAATCGTACGATTCCCGGCGGGGTTTCAAACATGCTGGTTCGATGGAAGACGTGCGACCGTACAGTAGAAACGGTCGCACGCATTCCATACACTGCACGATTCTCGTACGATCGCGGGATTTCCCGCGATTCTCGTACGAGAATCGTGCAGTGTATGGGCACCTTTTATAGTTCAGCCTTAAACTGGTCGCTTGCAGTTGTTTTTTGGAGCTAAATCACAATCTTTCTAGTTTCTTCCACCACTGTCCCTTTCCTATGTCTGATCTGTAGATCTGTATATACCCCTTGTGTCCAACCTATGGCCCCAGGGCACACCTTTGGCAACTATTGTGCGGCCCTTGGAGCCCCTGCAGACAGAATGATGTTTTTCTTCCAAGGTGCCTTTTCAGTGAAGAAAGAACATTCTTTAGGTCAGATTCTAGTTTTTAGATTAGATTAGACTCTACTGTGTTTCCCCGAAAATAAGACCCTGTCTTATATATTTTTTGGGGTCAAAAAAACACACTAGGTCTTATTTTCAGGGTATTTTATTTTTTCAGGGTCCTATTTTTTTTTTTTTTAATGTACAACAATCCAAAGTTAATGCAAATCCAAAATGGCAAAGTCAAGAATAGGGTGATCAGGGCAATCAGGGGTGCCGTCCCTTTCCAAAAGCAATTTGTTAACCAATTGCTGGCCAGAATGAGTGAAGCACGCTTTCACTATGGATTCCTCACAGGCGGAGTGCATTTGGTATCACTCCGCCTGTGACAGCAGCCGGCGCTATAGAGGAAGCATCGGCTTATGCGGCTCTGCTCCCTCCGCTGCCGCCTCGCTTCCTCTGGCGCTGGATTCTCTCCTGCGGCTCTTCAAGTTCCCCCTTATGCCACCACCGGCCCTGGGAAAGGTCACAACTAGGTCTTATATTCGGGGTATGTCTTTATATTTTAGCAATTCCCCAAAATAGTACTAGGTCTTATTATCGGGGTAGGTCTTATTTTCAGGGAAACAGGGTAGCGGTTAAATAACTCAGTTTATTTCTTTCATACTATCTGATCATATATCATACTTCTCTGCTGTGTATTTCTTTGTTTAATGTGTTTATCTATTGATCTTTTATAATGGATCTTGCTGTGGCGCAAGTCATTTTTTTTATATGGAGCACCAATGTGGAAGCATGGATTTGTAAAGGGGCTGTGACCATTAGCAGTCTCAATGTGTTTCCAGTCTGACTTGCATTGCCATCGTCTCTAACAATTCCTATAGCACCTTTGCAGTCTCTGAAAATCTCCTGAAGCATGTCTGTCGTCTTTGACCATCTCCTTTTTTTTTCTGTCTGCATTCGCTGATCATTTTCTGTAGTATTCTATTTACTAAATGCAATGTGTGACCCTTGGTTATATCAGGGACCCCCTATATCAAGAATGTTGACCACCACTGGTATATACAAAAGTGTCAATTCTGTGGGTAAGCCTCCCGTCTGCTGACCACCTGTAGGCAAATAGGTTTCTCAGGCTGGACTGCATTATGCAGAAGTAAAGCTCCTAGTGAAGCTCAGAGCTGCTCTATGGTAATCTATTCAAATGAATGGATCATTTGCCAGTGGTGAGAGCCTCCATCGGACAGACATGTTGGTTTATACAATCAAATTCCCTGCTTTCTGTTCTAAAAGTGGAAACCTCTTTAAGTGAACCTGTCACCTGATTAAAGTATGTCAATCATAACAATGATCTTCTCTTATTTGCTTCCTTTTGGACCAAATAAAACCATTATAGTGTTTTTTTCTTCTGCTCACTACTCAGCAATGGTACAGTAAGGTACACTAGTGGTTCCGAGTCAAGAGCACTGTCAAAGTGCAGACATCAAGTTCTTTTTAAAATCCTGTTATTGATTTCTTTGATTGCAGACACACACACTCTAAACTGATGACTTTAAGCCTCTTTGTTGGATTTGGAGCCTACACACACCCCAACTTTTAATAGTCCAAAGCCAGCCTCTCAGTGGGCAGTATAAGATATCACATTGACTTGTTAAAGCATATCTGAGCCCAAAACCAATAATGTTCTATATTGCAGCTTAGCAATCTCTAGATGTTATGGCTGCATTAGTTTTCTTTTTTTTGTCTTTTTTTTCCCCCTATGTCAACTTTATTCCATGCAAAATGCTGATAGTGGGGTGTAGCTAGGGAAAGTCTATGTGTAAAATGTTGGGCTGTATAACGTGTCCATGTTTTTCATGTCGGAAAGTATATAAACTCATGATATGAACTGTTTTCTCTCTGGAGGCATGACGATGGGCTGCTAGAGGTGGTGGGCGTTTATGGATCATTCCACTGCGCTCAGATTCAGGTGAAGCTGGCAAACCCTGTCCGTCTTGGCCAAGCACACACTGTGAGGGTAAGTACTGAGCTGCTGTTATTTTTATGTGCATCAAGTCTGCCTGTAAAATGAATCTTGTCTCTGAGAAATGAGGCACATACCATTAAAGTAGATCTAAATAGGGAATGGTTCAATAGGGAATGGCTTAATCTCCCATCAGATCTGTTTTTCTTTGTGCCATTTGTGTCCCATTTGCGAGATTACCGTTCATTTCCTGTCCTATAGATAACATGAAGTAAGGCAAATAGTCTCCAAAGTAAGGTAAATCCAATCTGAGACAAAGAGACAGGATCTGTGTAAAGGTCCCCCAACTGCTTTATACTTGCCTCTCCAGTGCTTTCTTGGCAGTCCTTCTTATGTCCACTACAGCAGAATAACCAGTGCTTCTGGGTACGGAACCTCCTCCCATGATACAGTGGACAGAGGTCCTATACTCTGTGCTAGTGTCCAAGAATGTTCTTTTGCAATAAAGTGCCCGGGAATAGTATCCAAGCACTGGGATTTGTAATATAGTGCCCGGGAAGGGGGTAGTGTCCAAGCACTGGGATTTGTAATATAGTGCCCAGGGGTAGTGTCCAAGCACTTGGATTTGTAATATAGTGCCCAGGGGTAGTGTCCAAGCACTGGGATTTGTAATATAGGGCCCGGGCATAGTGTGCAAGCACTGGGATTTGTAATATAGTGCCCGGGAATAGTATCCAAGCACTGGGATTTGTAATATAGGGCCCGGGCATAGTGTGCAAGCACTGGGATTTGTAATATAGTGCCCGGGAATAGTATCCAAGCACTGGGATTTGTAATATAGTGCCCGGGAATAATATCCAAGCACTGGGATTTGTAATATAGTGTCCGGGGGTAGTGTCCAAGCACTGGGATATGTAATATAGTGCCTGGGAATAGTGTGCAAGCACTGGGATTTGTAATATAGTGCCCGGGAATAGTGTGCAAGCACTGGGATTTGTAATATAGTGCCCGGGAATAGTATCCAAGCACTGGGATTTGTAATATAGTGCCCGGGGGTAGTGTGCAAGCACTGGGGTTGAGCACTGTGACATGATGAAGGGGGCGACATCACTACGTCCTCTGACAACAACCGACCACAATTGCTTTGGTGGTAGCTGTGATGGAGGAAGGAGAAGCAGGGCCACAATGTACAGGTGAGTATAAAGTGGTCGGTAGGGTGGTGGGCCTTACACTGACCCTGGCACTTTCCCTGAATGGACAAGGTCTCAGGATCTCCTTAAAGGTAATCTTTTGCACAGTAAGGACCCTACTATGTAGCATTGGTGTTGAATTAGTTTTTCAGTGAATTCTCTTTCACGGTGTTATATATGTCACTGTAACTTGTTTCATGTTATTTGCAGCTAATTTTGAAGAATTCCAGAATGCCAATGCAGGTGGACGGCGAACCCTGGGCCCAGGGACCGTGCGAAGTCACCATCACTCATAAGACACACGCTCTCATGTTGTACCATGCAGGGGAACAAACTGACGACGATGACGAATACCCTTCCAGTGAGTCCGACCAAGACACCCCGCACACAAAGGCATAGGAAACCGCAGCTTAATGAGATACCGTTGAAATGCTTTCTGATACTGCAGATCCTTCTGCCTCTTCGCACTCTATATTTATTTATTTGATTTGCTCTTTATATGTTTTTTTTGTTTTTTAATATGTCATCTTTTACTGTGCAGGGGCCATGGGGGAAAGTTATTGAGCGGGGCAAAGCAGGAAGGAGGCTTCCCTTAGAGCTAAAGCTGAACCAAATACAACTTCTGCATCATCACATGATCCAGGGCTTGAGAAAACGGGGTTATTTCTTCACACTTTACTGACATAATGATATCTGCATCAGGCTGAACCGAAACACTTCTTTAACCTAGTCAGGGGTGTTTTTCAAGTAAACCTGTCAGAATTTATCATTTTAAACAGATACCAGGTCTTTTATACATTTTATAATGGCTTTAAGTTGGCTTACTTTATATTTATTTATTTATTTTAATCTGTATGTTTTTATACCTGTTTTATGTTTATTTTTGTAGTGTTTATAGAAAATCCGTGCTTTTACTGATAAACATCTACCGTATATACTCGAGTATAAGCCGTCCCGAATATAAGCCGAGGTACCTAATTTTACCAAAAAAAACTGGGAAAAAGTATTGACCCGAATATAAGCCGAGGGTGGGAAATGAGGCAGCTACTGGTAGATAGATACCATTTTTTCCCGTACTCGCCGATACCGAATACTGATACCGGAGGTCCCATTAAGGAAGCCAGGTGATGTGTAATGACACTTGCCACCCTGCTTCCTGATTAGCTGGGCGGCGTGTAATGACTCGCCACACGGCTTCACGATTAACAGAGAAGCCATCTCCATGCTCTCTCGTCACCAGGTGACAAGGGAGCATAGAGCCGGCTTCCCGGCCAATCAGGAAGCCAGGCGGCGAGTCATTACACGACACCCGGCTTCCTGAATGGCCAGGAAGGAAGCTGGCTCCATGCTCCCTCATGACCAGATGACGAGGGAGCATGAAGCCTTGGCTTTCTGGCCAATCAGGAAGCCAGGGGGCGGGTAATGACTCGCTGCCCGGCTTCCTGATTGGCCAGCTTCCCGACAAATCAGAAAGAGGGGCGACGAGTCATTACACGCTGCCTGGCTTCCTGATACCGGAAGTTCTGGTATATCCCAACTGTAATAAAAAGATACATGCAAAATCACAACACATTCCCTTTGCGTGCCCAAATGTCTCAAATTCTTTTTTAAGTGACTTGGGATCTCCCAAGCATGGCTGCATGCAGCAAGCAAAATCATTAGGGACACCAACTCACCTCCTGCTATCCAATCGTATACCTGGGCATCCAATATACTGGCACCTGATTGGATAGTGAGATTGTGAAAGACATGCCACGACTTTGTAGTCAGACGCGTGGCATCCTCTGCTTGCTGTTCATAACAATGTACTAGACATCCCAAGCCGCAGAGAAGACAATTCTGGGACAATTAAGGGTACACACGGGCATCTATTGGTGCCTCCTTTTAGTGCTGGTATCCTTCTGAAACTGAGAAATTCTAACAGATTCCAGTCACACAGGCGCAGGTTTTTTTCTTTATTATCAGAGGGGGAGAATGAATAAATGAGGTTGATTAAAAAGTTTGTCCTCACGATTAAAATAGTTCAGTTTCCATTTGTCCAGAAATGGGCCTGGCAATCCTCTGCTCTAGTGTAAAGCTTTTGTGTGAAATGCAAAATCCCAAGCATTGGAAAAGGGTCCCGGTCAGCAACCAGTTCATATAACACTCTGTGCTATGCCAAGGCTCCGCTCTCTTCAGGCTCCTGGAACACAAATTAACCTTTTTCTTGGACGAATGTGAAGGCGATCATTGTACTGTTTGTTTAACACTGGTGACTTAAAGGGTATCTCTACCCAAAAACAAAAAAATGTATATATTGCACCTTACCAGTCCTTAGATATGGCTGCTGCAGTCGTTTTCTTTTTTGGGCTCTTTTTTCCTTTATTTTCACCTGGTAATCCTTTCAATAACACTTCCTGTCCTGGGGGGGGGGCGGCATCACTCACTCCTCTGTATTAATGGAGTGAGCCATGGTTGCCACCCAGCCTGCTCTTCTGATATGTATTACAGAGATCTCTTTTACACAAGGGGTAGGGCATATGGCAGAATACAGAAGATAGCTAATAAGGAAGATAAGCCTCAGTTCAGCTCACAGGAAGTGTCATGGACACAGCGTTTCTTTGAAGATCAACAGGTATTCCCTGAACTTGCTGAAAATGTTCTGAACCTGAATGAAAACGAATGCGGCCACTTCATCTAAGGATGGGTAAGCTGCACTATATTACATTTTTGATCTTGGGTTAGATGCCCTTTAATATAGAACTCTTGGCAAAAATCATAATCTTTTATAGCTTCAGGCATTCTCCATGTTTACAGTTCAACACCCATCTTCTCCTATACCATGATAATGGACGTCATCTGTCTGATGCATAGTGAAGGAGCATTTGGCATATTCATGTGGCCAGCTCTGTGCAATAGACGAAGCAAGAGAGCCCAGATTGGCTCTGAGTGTTGGCTCACCCCCTGCCAGTCTGGGCCGTGCTATGCAGAGGAGTACAGGAAATTAATATAAAGACCGGTTTGGGTAATTAAACTAGCTGCACTTATGGAAATATTTCATGATTTATGTGGAGTACATACTGGATAGAAGGGTCAATACCTGCCTGGAGTTCAGCTTCAGTTCTACACGCCGCTTGCCTTCCACCGTCAACATAGCTGATAAATTCCCCCATGGCTTGCTTTTATATGATGTATGTGTATCCTGTTTACTTTCCTCTGTGCCGGTTCACACCACAAAGTCTGCGTTCCAGAGCATTCGGCCTCTGGAACGCAAGCCGGCCGGCTCCCTGCGTCCAGGTGCGGGAGGGGACCTGGCGGTACATTGAAGTCAATGGCACTGCAGCCACACACCCCCGCCCGGTGTTCCGGTCCAGTGCGATCTGCAAAAGTAGTGCTTGCAGTATTTTTGCAGATCGCACAGGACTGGAACGCAAGGACTAATGCGCCTGCATTCCGGGTATGGGCAATCGCACTGCGGGCGGGGGACGTGGCCGCGGTGCCATTGACTTCAATGCACTGCCTTGGCCCCTGAACGCAGTGAGCCAGCCAGCTTGCATTTCAGAAGCCGAACGCTCTGGAACGCAGAATTTGTGGTCTGAACCGGACCTCAGAGTTGAATGTCATTTGATTACACTGTAACTGTATTTTAACCGTTGTCACAGCATAAGTGAATTTGTTTTACAAGAAAGCAGTTATGTTCATGAGCCATTTGGAAATCTCTGGTGTCGCCCAAAAACAAGGAGGAGGATACCAGAGAAGCGATGTGCTGCAGTGAGAGTATTTTCCGTTCATTTAAAGCTTCACTGATTCAAAATATGTACTGGGTGAACTACACTGTATAGAGTAAGATATGTGCTGCAACTTGCATTTGACTGCATGACACAGTTCTGTGGCTATGCTGCATTTCTGGCACAGGTCTTTCTGCAGTCGGTGAAAACTGAATTCTTTGGGTTTTTTTAATGGCAGCTGTAGGGAATAGTGTCATGTATTATAGAGGGATTTTTATAGGTTACTTAAAGCAGACCTATAGTAGTGCAACATTGGCATTCCTTTACTATAACATTCAGCCTGTATGATATCATCTGAAGGTAATGAGTCCTAACACGCATCCTTTTCCTTCTATTGTGGTATTGTTGCACCGCTCTGCTGCCTGGTCACACGACTATTGTCAACATATCCTTCATTCAGAGCTTCTTGGAGGGTTGATCTATAAGCATGGCTTGGGCAGTTAGACGCTCTGCCTGAACAGTATCTTTACGTCTCTCTCTCCCAGAACACTTTGCATCAGAAGTGGTCTAATGGCAGGACACCAGTGAGATTCTTTATTGCCCTTAGTAAAGTAAAAGTCTGTGTTTTGGACTCTCATTAGGTGTTATGCACGCTGACATTTTATATAATGGCGCAGTGGCAAGAAAAGGTTTGTGAACCCATTGGGTTTACCTGGAATTCTGCATGCAAAGCTCCTTAACTGTGATCTAGTATTCGGTAAAATAACCATGTATGAAACATTTAAAGTAGACCCCCCTTTTGCCAAAAATCACATTAGCATGCAGCTATGCATGCTGATTATAAAATCATCTTACATTCATAAGAAACATGTTTCTCATTTACTTACAAATAGAGTTCATCTATTTCCTGGTCCATTTTGGCACAAATTAAGTAATCGTGCCCAAGCATTGCATCCTGGGATGGTTACATCAGCAGGGCATTGCTGGGAAATCTATTGGGATCATCTGTAATCCCAAGAGATCGCAGGGAAAGGCATTGTCCTCCCCTGAGATGATGTGCATGGTCACATGTCCTAGTCACATGTGCCAGAGTTCCAGGAAGTAAAGTGGGAGCTAGTTACCTGCCCTTAGTTAAAATGGCCACTGTCAGAAGACTGGGGAAGAAAAGAAAAACAAGGTATGCAAAGAATAAAAAGCCGCCAATTATCTAGAAGTATCTGTGTGTAGATTGTCATTACTAAACATTCCTAAAGGAGCCTTTGCCGTTATTTTAAAGATAAGGGTCAAGTTCCTCTTTAAGGCCGTGGATGAGAAAGTATGTAAACGTCTAGGACAGGGGTAGCCAAACTCCGGCCCTCCAGCTGTGGTGAAACTACAAAGGGGAAGCCAATAAGTTCTTACCCTCACCACGATCTAGATGTGCTAGGGATCTGGAATTCTGCAGGTTTATAGGGGGATATCTTAGTGATATGCATGCCAATGTTTGTTTTTGTAGGTCGTGGTGAATTATAGTTAGAGCCAAGAGAAATGGAGTCGGTGTCATGCCGGACAAAGTTGAATACCGAGCCGTGATTAGGTTCCTCCATCTTCAAGGGAAATCTGCCCAAATAATCCATGAAGAGATGTCAGCTGTGTATGGAGAGGATTGTCCATCATGTGAGACTGTCCAACGATGGAAGAGAGAATTCAAGT